AAAACTTACTTTTGTTTATTTTTTAATTAGATATATTAAATACTTATATAAAAATAAAACTAAAAAAAACATTTATATATAATTTAAAAATATATTATTTTATTTTTATATATTATTAAAAATATAGTACTTTAAAAAATAAAATTCAAATAAAAAATTGAAAACTTACTTTTATTTACTGTTTAATTAAAAAATAAAATATATATTATTAAATATATATTACTTTTTATTTTTAAATATTATTAAAAATATATTATTTTTTATATATTAAAAATATATTACTTTTAAGAATATATTATTTTTTATATATAATTTAAAAATATATTATTTTATTTTTATATATTATTAAAAATATATTATTTTTATATTATTAAACAATATATTATTCTATTTTTATATATTATTCAAAATATATTATTAAAATTAGTTTATTTTATTTTTATATATTATTAAAAAAACATTTATAATTTATTAAAAGTATATTATTTTTTAAAAAAAAAATATTTATTTTTATAATAAAAAATAATAATGTCATCCCATTCCAGCCCTATTCATTCTGCATACCAAACGCATCAATGACAAAACATGTTTCATTCCATTCCCATAAACATTCCATTCTTCAATTAATTCCATTCCTACGAAATTTCATTTCATCATACCAATCATGCCATAAGTGGTATCTTGACCGCACGTCGCAACGCGGCAAAATTATAATTTATATTTTCCTTAACCGACTTCTACAAACTACTAGTAGTAGTGAGTAATGGTCGAACCCACAGAGAGTGTGTAATCGAATTGCAATTATTTTTCTTTAATTAAAATCACGAAAATAATAATTAAAAATGGAGGTTTTGGATAAATCAATTTACTACTAAAATCATGGACAATGATAAAATATCAAATGAAACAAATAAAGATGATTAATCAAATAAATGGGGAAGCTTCTAGTCCACGGTTCTGTCTACACCCTCGACTGACTCATCTAATCAACTTTGGTATCAAATCTTGCTATCTTATAGACTAAGTAGTGAACTCAACCGCGTTCGTTCACTTAAACAGGTCGTGTTATCCACGGTAGTTACCATCTTCCGGTTGCCTCTTATGAATTAAACACAACAACAATTACGGATTGAAGATCTAATTCATCTATAGATATAATAAGCCTAATCTAGGTGATCAATCTAAATAAGACTCAACACATCATGGTTAATTATTCAAAATAACACAAACAATTCCAAAACGGTATTGAAATTATCAATCATATAAATTAATCAAAACATCGTCAATAGTAGGGTTCGACTTCCCTGGAACTAGAAATAATAGTACTAGCCACGCACAGCGTTCGAAAACATAATCATGAATTTAACGAGAAAGAAAAAGAAAAGAAAATGAAAATCTTCTCTAATTTCCAATGTCTCTATCCAGTTGCTCTGTCTTGCGATATGCTCCAGGTCCCTGTCCAAAATTTCCTACGCAGCCGCAATGTCTCCAACGTCCTTTTTTTTCTCCAAGCAAAAATCTCCTGTTTTATATCCCAAGTCAAATATGGCAGCCCATCATAAAATGGACCTTTTGACCTAATAGTAAAATGGGAAATTTTTATGTCTGCTATGTGATTTTAAAAGAATTGTAACTTTACCATACAAGTAAAAATAATTATGTCTCTACATAAAAAATATTATTTATCTATATTAATGCCCAAAGTAAGTTACCATATCTTTCACACTTTCATCCCCCTTTTTATGCGCTTGATTAAGAGATAGAAATAAAAACAAATAATTGATTCATCTAATTCCTTAATTCGCGCACGTTTTTAATTGGAGAAATAAAAACATGTTTTGTAATTCACGCAGCTGTCAAGTGGTATATATTGCGTTTATGTTAGTATATATTCAATATGTTTTGCAATACAAAACATGTCTTCTATCAAAAAATTATGTCTTCTTTTTTTTTTAACTTTTATACATAAAGTATATATATAGTTTATAAACATATTATAACAGGTTACTTATATTCCCTATACAAAAAAAATCTTCTAATATACAGAACACATGTTGAACATATACTCCATATCATTTTGTTTGGTATATTAAAAGTATATGTTTTTAATATTTTTGTAGACGAAGTTGCCTATGATGATTTTCATTCATTATATGATGAGTGGACTATGTATATAAACTATACATATACACAACAACAAAAAGAATCAGTTTATTCTTGTTTTAAATCAGATTTTGAATATTTTGAAAACATAAAATGTCTATAAACTAGAAATATATTGTCTATATATACAACATATACGTGCCGTCTGAGCAAAATGTAACATAATCCCGACGTATAATATCTATAAACTGAAAATATATTGTCTATATACTCAACATATACTGATTGGGGGTGGATCCATTCAGCGTATAAACCGTCCAAAAAAATAAACTAGTTTCAGAAAACGTGAGACTAATCAGCTAATCAAACAAAAGAAAAAATTCTCATAAAAGTAGAAACAACATGTCTCTCGACAAGCTGTGAGTTTACTCTTTAAACCCTCAAAATTGTGAGTTTACAACTGCGCAAGCTGTGAGTTTACAATTCCTTGCGGATCCCAAAATTTGCTTTTCTATTTTATTACAAGTTGAAACTCACGGGGAGGGCAGTATTCAGTCAAGGTTGCTCCTTCCTTGCGGATCATCCGATTCTCCTTGATATTCCAGGGTCGGGTCGTGCGCAGGCGTGTCTTCAAGTGATGCTGTGTGGACTTTTTCTCCATCCTGAACGAGCACTCTATCGGCAACCCATAACTGCCGCCGCCCACCGCCAGTCTCCGCCCACCGTTTGTTGTTTTTTTTTTTCGAGTAGGGATGGGGAGTTTTGCTTTCGCTGTTGAGAAAAATTGGGGAAAGGAATGAAGTTTTTAGCATAGGATTAGAGATCGTAGGCGGTTTTGTAGAGAGAGATATAATATCTCCTTGATATTTGGTAATAATATATCTTACCAATTAATGATCCAATCACATTTAACTTGCCCAAAAATATCTTAAATTGAATTGGATATTAGGTATATTTGTAATATTTTGTGGTTGATTTAGTTATTTTATAAATAAAGTTAAATTGAGTGTATAAGTATAATATAAATCATATATGATTATAAGGGGTGTAAATTTCTCTAGTAAAATCAGTAGACATGGCCCACTCTTCAATCACAAAATACATCGGCCCTTTTAATATTAATTCCCCACATCACCCTAAATGAATTGCATGGGCCTGCTACACGCAGTACGGGGTCTGCTGGTTTAGTACGGGGCACCCCCGTACTCTACTATTCAGCCTCATTTTCACCCTTGTTCGTACCTCCAAAATCATCATGCACTAGATATAGTTTCAAAAACACTGAAAAACACTACAAAACCTCATCAAGGCACGAGAATCATTCAAAACATCAAATAGGTCGAAAAACGTATAAATACTAAGAATTAAACGCGTACAATCACAACATTAGACGATTAATGCAAGCACGTTTCTCGACTAATCAAACCACCCCACACTAGAACGATGTTTGTCCTCAAGCATTAAGACAAATTTATCATCTCAATTTGCAATCACACTCTTTCCTCCTCCTTTGCCAATTCAAAATCATTTTGCACACAAGAGAAACAAGTCATGATAGAACCCTTATATACCGACATCAATAACAGAGAGTCTCAACAATCAATCAATATGAAATGCAAACGAGGATCAACACTCCTCACAGGTTTCGCTCAAACTCTCCAAGTGTATAGACTAAAGATATATAAGTGAACGCTCAAGTCAAAACATAGAAAATCTTTACCATATACTTGCCATTGCATCACACCCTACAACTCGAGAATAAACATAAATCCACAAAAATCAAAGGGTTTTTTTCACAAGGTTGTAATGACGGGTATGGGTAATAATGGCTAGAGGTATTGACACACCAGAAGAATAATAATGTACTTCAAACGAACCAAAGCAATCGTGCAAGCCCTGTCCGAAAAGAACTCAAAACACAAACACACTACCCACAAGTGATAAATAACTAACTGTATCCCAAGTCAATCCAAGAATAAAAGGGACAATCACTCCACGAAAATCACTACAACTCCGCCACTCCTAGTAATTTCAACTCATCTCATCATAGCACAATTGTCAACCTCTCCATTTTTTTTTTAGTTTTTTTTTTATTTTATTTTGGTTTTAATTTT